AATCAGAGGGTAGAGTTCGAATTTCAGTTGAGTCCATTACATTCACTTAGGAAAGGTAAGAATCCATATGCTCTCACCGCAACAATGGATAAATACCAAATCCAATTGGGTTGTATGTAGTTGGGTGTCAATCGGACTAGGAGAAGGACAGCACCAAATTCAAGACTAGGTCGAATCACGCCATATTCCGTCGTTTTCATTTTTCGACTTTCATTGAGATATTCTGACGTATAACATAAATATTTGTTTATTTAAAAAATTAAAAATAAGCAAGAATATATACAGATATATATTCTGGTTTATTACATTTATTTAAAAAAAAATCTCAAAATTAAAGGTGTATTGAATGTGTTACAAATAATGTGTAGATTATGATATACGCATGAACGAAAATTAATATATATATATATATATATATATATATATATATATATATATATAAATATTTATGTTATAATTTTTAAATAAATAATTATATCTGCTCTACTCTGTATTGAGAACTCTTTTAAGAATAGTAATTGTTGGTTATAGGAATTTATTCCGTATACATAATCATATACTTGGGTATATATATATATATATATATATATATATATATATATATATATATATATATATATTCTGCAGTATTAAACATAAACTTATTTATCAATAAGAAAGCTTCGAAATTGATGATGTATTTATTGTATTACAAATAGCTAGTATATTAAGGTATACGGATAAACTTATACACACACACACACACACACACACACATAAATCGTTTTGTAAGAAAAACAATTCACATTCGCATGTACCGAAATATACTTGCTTATAGTAAGTGTTTCCTCTCTCTCTCTATATATATATATATATATATATATGTATGTATGTATGTATGTATGTATGTATGTATGCGGTATGATTAGATACGTACTCCACTGAATATGCATGGTAAAAGATAAGTCAATGTCCTCTAACGAAATGTTTCCGTTAGAAACGAAGAAACGAGTGTTGGATTGCTCTATGATAACAATCCTCTCATATTCGACAATGCTCACAATGATAAAAGTAATAACGAGAAGCTGCAGAAGCAAAGAGGAAAACGGAAAGAAAATGACAACAAAAAGAACATTAATGCTTCGACATAATGAGGAAGTAGGGCTTGTAAAACTCGGTAAGCAGCGAACGAGTTTACTCAAGTGACGCGTCATATACCAGTAATATCGAGAAGCAGCAAGCGTTAAAGAAACTATTAAGTGTAATTAACTTTTCAACTTGCCAATTTCAACAGTAAAGTGAGAGATGTAGCTAGCTTACTAGTATTACGTTTAAATTCCTTAAGTCGAAGTGCCAAGCGGCGAACTTATATGAATAATTACATTAAAATATTTAAGAAAAGTAATCTATGTTATGTCGATATGTATATGATTTCACCTAAGATAAAGACGCTGTGTACATGATGCCAACTAAGATATTATAAAGACACAGATCTGTAAATGTTAATCTGAATTTTATCACCAAACCATTAAGATCATAGTGTTCAGTTTCGTGTCACTGATCCGTATGCTCCATGACGGATGTGAGCGTCAGTTTGTCCTCTCGGATCCGGTTCCAAAACCAGTGACCTTAAACAAAGATGTGTGTTGGCTTCGATGCTATGATCAACGATGTCCGCTTGGCAACTTTGACGTGACACCCGATACAGTCTCAACGGCGGACTCTTTAATTTCACCCGACACCGTTCTTGTACAAAGGGTACTATCACCCAGCTGCATGAATTTCAGTATGCTGACGGCATTATGACTACGGACCAGACTGCAATTAACACCAAGAGATCGACAAATCTGGATAACGAAGCCAAAAAATCCTTCGGAATGCAATGGCAGAAAGACGAACGTCCTCATCGAGTTGGCCCTCGAACAAGCAATAGCATCAACTTCGACGAACCACCAGTAGAATCCGTCGACAAATTTCGTTACTTTCGCAGCATCCCTCAAATAATATCACCTACGAAATCGTCATCGTCATTGATGAATACCTGGTCCTAGAGGCGTCCATGCTACGTATGGACGCCTCTAGGACCAGGTATTCATCAATGACGGCCTTACAATAAAAAACAATTTCATGATCTTCCGGTCCGTTGTTTCTTCCTTTTCAGTACGCTGTCGAGACGTGAACCATGTATCGTCGGAACATCAAACGTCTGAAGCGGTTAGAGCTAACGAAGCTTCGAAGAATCTTTCGTATCAACTGAAAGTACCGCCTCCCCAACCACCAGCTTCTCTATTGGACATTTTTCGCCCATATCGAGACTACTAATTTTCGGCTACACCAGGCTTGCCACATGTTCAAAATACATCATGTTAGGAGAGCACGCCAGTTGCTATGTGGTAGGTCAAATGATCACTTGAAGACATTTCTGACACAAGACATATTCTGACATATATCTGATGCATCATCGCTAAGACCAGGGAAACCTCCCAGGCGAAGCACCATCCATAGTTTGGGAGGACGTTCGAGTCCAACCATTGACATGAGGAGGATCTACGACGTGCTGTAAGGGTGGTTCCATTCACCAGTCGCACCTATCACCAACACTCCTCTGTGACTGCTTTTCACGATGCTTCAAAACAAGGATGGCACTTCAGAACAAACAACATTGCAGATTCTTCTTTGAATTTTATCACTAAATATATATCAGGAACACGAGACAGTATGTGGCAGACATACTCAATGCACGGATGAATTGTAGACATTTAAATTAGTAAAACATTAGAATATGTAATTTGGAAAATTGTCAATCACGACACAGAGTACCAACTTTGCTACCTGCAGATCTAGGAATTGAAGCAATATAATCTTTCCACGTCATGCCACTGGAAAACGTCAGCCTCAGAAGGCGTCATTCACTAGATGTGTTCCTAGTTATTGTTCGTAACGGCTTGCTATCATTTGCTTTCCAAGTTCGGGGTTCTTGTACTATAGGCATTGAGGACTGTTTGACTTTCCAAATGTTATAGGAAAGGGGATTGGAGTATTTGTCACTCACACGATATACTGAAGACAAGTGTGACAGAGGGAAAACTCGTACCATATCAAGCATGTACAAAATGGATGTTAGATTAGGGATTGAAAGTATAATAAACATTGCTAAAGTCTAGAAATGTCAGTAAATTGTGTACAGCAATGAACAAGAAACATGAATGAACAACGAAGAAAATACGTTTATCAACCTTTGTAGATATTGAGTTAGATCGCCCACATTCACACCAAGTAGGGGTTAATAACAGATATACACGATTATTTGGCTATGAATATCTAGGAGACAGGTATTATCGAATCCAAAACCGGTTGTGCTTGGAGCTAGGAACTCCTCTTAGAAAACTAAAAGCAAAAAATAAACTATATATTACGGAACCCCCAAAAGAAAGATGTTGTCTTATATAATATTAAGATCACCTCTCGCTGTGTTTCAGAATCTAATTTCATATTTCTCAACAGAATATTCTGTTTAATTCCTTCTCAAAAATCATTCCTCGTTGCTGATAACCGATAAAGTTTATTTCTCATTTTTTACTTTAGAATGATTTTCATCTTGTACAAGTTTCATGAAGCACTCAATTTAGAGGGCTACATTAAGAAGCACTATTTATTGGGATATGTTGGGAACATAACGGTTAATAATAGACATCAAAATGAACGGGGAAGCATCGTATTGTGATTTTGCTCCACAAAACGGTATTTCGTGGAAAGAAGTTGATCGAGACGAAATTACATCTGACCTATGCTATACCCAGAGAATGACTATTGTTCGTTACATTTTGTGTTTATGGCAGTTCTTAGCCGTGAAGCTCAAAAATGGAGGAACGCTTAATGTAGTTCATTTGAAAACTTCCAATGAAAATAGTGGTGGAGCAGCGGGAAGCTTGCAACATTTTGCCTGTGAGAAAGCGTGTGTAAGGTGGAAAATAATCTATCAGCGACAAGGACATGGAGGTGCTTTTGGATATTTCAAGACGGGAAAGTTTAAACAGGAATGGTCCTGCCCATATGTGTCAGCTGTACACCATTTTAGGCATGATCTGGCTGTTATAAAAATCGAGGGTAGTAGCTGAAGTCGAAGTCAATTTACTTGATCGTATGTGGGAGTTCCACTATAGATCTGGGTTGAATTTAAGTAGCAATAAGCGCTTAAAGTACGGATATCTCTGTCACTACACTCGTTCTTCGGGATAGGTGAAAATGTAGGGTCCGCTCGGTGATAGTGAAACGACACTAGTTTTTTTTTGTTTTTTTTCCAGGCCATTGAATGTAACAAGCCAGTTTTCCCCGACTGAGGTTTTAAAACTAGGTCAGAGGAGAGATCAGCTCGTAATCTAGAATTTTTGAGAAGCACCAAACTACAGCTTTCTCATCAGCGTAGATATCCACAAATGATCGGAGCAGACTCTCAGGCGTATCATTTCTGTGAAGTAGAGGAGTATTTAGCCGCGAAGCCAGCCCTGAGGGACACTTGCATTTAATGCAAGGGCCTCGGAGGACAGGTAGTTATATTGCGTACGATATCTCAAGTAGGTTATCCGCGTCTGTTCTCTGCTTTTATTCTGTTTGTAGTGGATTTTGAAATTATAATTTCCGTAATCTGCCATTCAGCATATATTTGCGCGATTTTGTCGCTTTCGACTCATGACTGACAAGGCAGGAGTTTCTCTCGCAGTATTTTTTCATTTCTTTCTGCGATAGACTGTAGTGCAATTAAGTCCTTTCTGGCATTCAAACCATAGCTGAGGGAGTAGAGATTGATTCAGAGTTTCCATAGATATTTGTATGTAGATGATTGTATTGCTGACTGGTACTTGAAGTCGGCTCTCCGATGTCTCACTCCGAGCCGTTATCCATTCCATCACACCGCACGACTACTGTTACCTGTTACCGGTTCATATATATGATGTGTTCATATCTATTACGTGTTCATATCTATTATGTGTTCATATCTTTCACGCGTTAATATCTACTAGGTGGTCATATCTATTACGTGTTCATATCTCTTATGTGCTCATATCTACTAGGTGTTCATATCTATTATGTGCTCATATCTATTATGTGCTCATGTCTATTACGTGTTAATATCTATTACGTGTTCATATCTATTATGCGCTCTTATCTACCAGGTGTTCATATCTATTACGTGTTCATTACTAGGTGTTCATATCTATTATGGACTCTTATCTACTAGGTGCTCATATATACTATGCGCTCTTATCTACTAGGTGTTCATATTTATTACGTGTTCATATCTACTGTGTTCATATCTATTATGTGCTCTTATCTACTAGGTGTTCATATCTATTATGTGCTCATATCTATTATGTGCTCATAACTATTACGTGTTCATATCTATTACGTGTTCATATCTATTATGCGCTCTTATCTACCAGATGTTCATATCTATTACATGTTCATTACTAGGTGTTCATATCTATTATGGACTCTTATCTACTAGGTGTTCATATATGTTATGCGCTCTTATCTACTAGGTGTTCATATTTATTACGTGTTCATATCTACAATGTGTTCATAACTATTATGTGCTCATATCTATTATGTGCTCATAACTATTACGTGTTCATATCTATTACGTGTTCATATCTATTATGCGCTCTTATCTACCAGGTGTTCATATCTATTACTTGTTCATTACTTGGCGTTCCTATCTATTATATGCTCTTATCTACTAGGTGTTCATATCTATCACGTGTTCATATCTATTACGTGTTCATATCTATTATATGTTAAAAAATAAATGTTTTCATTTTTTTTGTCATGAAAATTATTCTTTTATTCTTCTCTACTTGAAATTAGACTATCTGTTAAATTCTCTGTAAATGCTATTTGCTGTATGCATCGATAAAAATGCCCCAATCACTTTAAACCGTTTTTATATATCGGAAAAAAAAACTAACCAGATTTTTTCCTCATGTACGACATTATACATTACATAAGAGATTATCAGAAATGTTGCTTTCCTTTCTGATATTATTTTCCGATTTGTTAATACTCATTACGGATTTTAATCTGCTTTTCTATTGATGGAAACGTTTTCTACGACTTATCAACACTTTGAAGTTTAAAGCCAGAACATTTTTAGATTGTGTGTCTTATTAGATAAAAAAGTATCTGTGATAAAATTTTCACTAATTAATCCATAGTTAGGGGTAGAAGAGGTGGTTTCATTCTTTTCTAAATTATCTTTGCCCGTAATTGAATATAACGAACTCATCTCGAATTGGAAATGTCCAGCCATTATCCATTACTGGACCCACACATCCAAGCTTACAGCACCTGGTATTCCCAAGAGAGTCACTCATCTACATACTGACCAAATTTGGCGTTGCTTATATTGTTTCGACGTATTTATATGTCAAACATTACTTCGTATGTTATTTATTTTTCTATGGGCCGAGTCCTCTCAGCACGTTCATTGCGGCTCTCCACAATTCCCTCTCCTTTTAAGCTCTTAGTAAATTTTATCTTTTTGCTATCTCTCCTGAACTGTCTTCTGATTCGTTAGGTAGGTTAAACGCGGATTTCCTCTCTCTCAGCGCATTCGAGTCCTAACTTACATCATGGGCTAAACCGTTTGCTGAAAACTACATATTAGGCATTTCTAGTAATTCCAGTGTTTAGTTGTTTCATATTTTCGGTTTTCATATATATTGTTTAATAGTTTTATTTTAATTCTAAATTTGCCATCAACACCGTATCATTTGTGTGCGAATTTTGTCAACGTTAATAAATACTGCGTGCATTTTAATATCCTTGAATCATCTGCATGGATAAGCTAAAACACACAGATACAATAAGAAGATATTGTCGCATTTGTCTCTCAGTATACTTGTATATCTCATTATCTATTTGAATAGAATATGTTGCTTCTCGATACAGAGATTAGATTAACCGTATATCCATTTCTTTGCAGATGAAGCTTTCTTAACACTAGGACACTAATCCTCAATTAAAGTTACACCACTACTAAACATGGGTATATCATAACCGATTTTGAAAATATCAAAAACAATATTAAATATAAATCTTTATCTGAAATATTTTGCATGCAGGCACTTCAAATTGTGTACTTTGAGTTAACATTAATAGGAACTAAAAAACATTATTTAGCTAAGAAAATAAGGTGCTGAAATTTGTAATTAAAAATAGGAATATTTGCGCTGGGTACTATATACCAATGGTTAGTGTTCTCGGATTAAAATATCACTAAATTCATCGTGTATATTATCGAATGAATTTAAATAATATACGTTAGTAAGATATATATCATTTCTCATTTCTAGTTTTGGATTTGTATCATTTTCATGCAGAAGATTGCATTCCCTGGTATAGTACTATGAAATAGCCGTATTGAGATGCTATTTCTGTCATTTTCACTCCTTTCTCTAGTTATAAGGTGCTCATCATATGTGAAATTATATATCTAAGGGATACTAAACTTTGTAAAACGGAGAAATGTCAGATTTGATTATCACTACACTGCATCTGTAAAACCCTAGACAACCAGAGTTTAGCAGTTGATCTCTGCTCTAACATAGCTTACGGTGTGAAGGAGAAACTAGCTGGATACATTCAATGCCTCAAAGAACAAACTACCGACTGTCCACAACCTCTGTTCTGATCCAGAACAGTCATCAATCGTGATGAATGTAAGTTCTCTGAGTTAGGGTCTTTGCTCTGAGCGCATATTTGGAGTTAAACTCTACCCAGACCACAAGGGAAACTTGTACGTACAATCCATTCTTAAAGATGCTACGTATAGAGAGGGTTTCCATTGCCCATCCAGCCAGTAGCTCAGTTATGCTGCTAACCTCTAAATTTACAAGACCGGTAGGTCGGAAATGGACTAATGTTGACAGATAGGGGGATTTTCAGTCTTCACTTTCCACTTGATAGTCTTCAAAAGTGTCAGCGCGTCCTTGTAGGTGATGAATTCTTTTTCCCTCTGTAACCCCTTTTTTGGCTGAGGAAACGTTGCAAGCTTCTTACTGTTCTATCTCTATTTTTATGGATGGTGTCTACATGTTAGTACCACCAGCCCTTACCATCAGGTCTAAGTGTCATCATGTTAGGCTCATTGGAGAGAACCAGCCTCATTCCCTTCTTCTTCCATTGATGAGATCTAAGTTCCATTTAAGCAGTTCCCAGGAACCACTACTTTGTCGAACCGGCCCCCAATAGGCTACTTACACGATCACTGCGATCTTTTCAAATTTAGGATTAACAGTTAGCTAACATACATACCCACATTAGCCGTAGCACTTACTCTAGAACCCTCTAACTTGAGTAACCCTTTAGCCTTGTACAGGGTGAAAACCCCTGTAAAAACAAAGAGAGGTGTTTGGAGAAATAACATTCAACTTATTTTCTTTATTTAATTTCAGAGATGAATACACATTCATTTAATTTATTTGACTGATAAGTATCCGTAAATTTCTTTATATTTGAAAGAAACATTTTCATCAAATGAGAAAATTAAATCTTAATAAAAAAATTTCGGGCAGATTTTAAAAATTAATCATTTTAGCTGTATTATAATATTTATTTTTAATGTTAAAGTAATGATCATTAAGGTAAGACAATGTAATATTATGAATTCTTTAACACGCGTCAATGTCATGTAGCCACGCGCTTTTTCGATAAATTGAAATATGATTCATGACGCTGATTGAAGTGTTTAATTATACATCTGTTTATAAAAACCAAGGAATATTGATTAAATTATTCACTTAATTATTTAGGTTATCGAGAAATGAAATGCTTCATGAGTATTTCCTTAAATATCTGTTATTTTTTTCCATAGTTTTCATAAATAAAAATATTACGCTTATTTACGGCAATGAGATATGAGGATAATGATATCAGGTAAAACGATAAAAATTCCATTCCTTCTTTCGGTATGTGATAACAAATAGGTTTATACTTCTTGTGTACCTTGGATTTCTTCCAACGCTGTATGGTAAATGAAATATAAACAACTTATTTTAGTTATAAATTCAGATTTCCAGATAGGAATATATCTTTTTAGTGAGATTTGAATATTTTTTCTTATTTACCGAATCTCGAATTAAAGGATATAGTCCCAGAGAAGATATTTAAATGTTGATTTTTTTTCTTCGGAATTGGCTTAAATGTTTCAAATATGAAGATACAATGAGTCTTTATTCATTTCCTTGTGGGCTTACTTTCTTAAATTACGGGTGAACATTATTTTCAACTATTTATGAAATTCTTTTTTACGCGTATTGATGTCAAAGTTTAGATTCCATAATTTATTGACTTTCTTACCAGATGTCATTACCAAAGAATTCCGGGACGCAGTTAGCCGCTCATTTTTGAAAATTGACTTTAAATGTGTTATCATTGTATGAGGTGACCACTCCTAACTCACAACTAGTTTCAAAAAGGCCTCTTAAACTTCGTGGAAAATTATGAACTATTTGCACATAACAAAATTTCTAAATATCGTGTCGTATTCTTTCTCTTCATCAAATATCTGCGTGTCGTAAAACTGTAGGAAGTAAATCATCATCACCAATATCTGCAGAATCATCATAATCCTCCCCCGCGTGACTGATGTAGTGATTTTCTAAGCCCGGCTTAGATGTGGCACAAGGCTGAAAGTATGTGGCACCCAGTGAGGATCGAACTCACTACTCAGTCGTAATTAATCTAGCAAGACAAGCATTCTAACCATTACACCACGATGATGTGCCCCCGCGTGACTCATGTAGTTTTAGTGTCATTGCGCTGTTGAGCAGTTGGTCCGCTCCATCAAAACATATGTGCGGAAAGACAGATAGTTTTATTTATATGGAAAGCTTGTCTTGAAAATTTATAACAGGTGATGTCATCTCTCTCCAAGTTAATATACAGTGGATGACCTCCATTTTGAAGTCTGGCATTAGTCAAAGGTATAAGGCAGTTGATTATTTCGGGGAAACTCTTTGCTCTGCCCGTTAAGTTGCGTCTATGAATTACTGTGCCGTACAGATGCGTAGAAACCTATGCAGCCCAATTTACACTACATTACAATGTACCAGTAGCACTTGTAGTGTGCTCTGATATAATGTAAACTATACACAACTAAAATAAGTACATTTTTCTACAATCAAAAAAAGGATATTTTCAAAAAAAATTAGCGTCACCAATTAAAGCAGAATATAAAATGTTTCCCGTTTCGAAATATATTCTTTATTTTTATGATCACTGACAGAATTTTAAAAATATATAAAAACTTAATGAAATTTTTTTTTTCCTGTATATGTTATATTTTTTTAATTTCTATGAAAAAAAGAAAATATCTGAAAATTTACAGTTATCTATCGATAGTGAAAGAAAATACTAGAAATAAAATATATTTTTTAAATTATAAAAATCCTGAATATATATTTGACATACAATGTTTGACGGCAAATATAAAAAAATAAAAGTTGATAGATTATTCCTTTTTTGCCAGAATAAATGAAAATGTTATAAGTTAACTGAGAATCAAATTTTATTTTGTCAGCTGTACTGGCAATAATTGCTGCAGAGTGGAAAGCATTACCTGATTTTCCATTGGCAAGGTTTTGATTGAGGAGTGAATCTGGCTCATATACTACGTCAAATACTGGAGCTTTCCATGGTTCACCCATCAAATATAAATTTGAAGTGTTAATATAACTAATTAGATCTTCAGTTATTACACCTGCGGACATCTTGCCATTTCTTGTCCCAAGGCTATCACT